AAAAAAAAAAAAAAAAGGGAAACTTAGAGCTGAAGAGTGAATGATCATATTCGCATTTTAGAAAGCGCCCCCTTGTGGCACTATGCAAGATGACTGAAATGAGGGAAAAACTGGACATAGATAGTTGGGAAGGTTACAGGGACTTTAAGACGTAGTCGCAGTGAGAAGGGGAGAGAATTGGGAAGGTTTCAGACTGGGGTTGGCCACACCCAAAGAACAGTATTTTTTTTCAAATACCTTTTAAATCACAATCCACAATAAGAAATACATTTTTAATATCATAACCCATGACGTATGCTCACACCTATGTGAACATGTGTGTCCATGAAAACGTGTATATGCACACATGTATACACCCTCCCCTAAAGATTTCACTACACGTAAGACAGTGCTATAGGCCCAAGGCACTGTCATGCTCGTCATCCACACAGGAAAATGAAAGCAGCAAGAGGTGTCCTAAAGGGGCACATTTGTCCTAAGTAGAGTTTCCTTTGCACCACTACTAAGGCTGTTGTTGACTGAGGCACTTAATGTTCTCCATGTTACTTAAGTAATGATTTATCACTAAATGTGACTGGCTGTTCTTTTGTAGTCTTCCTGGTTGATTATACTGCATAGCTTAGTTAGGTATTCATGAGCATATATCACAGACAGGCTTTCAGCAAAGCTCCTTATCTGTGTTACTGATCTCCACATGGTATTTCTGGAGTCAGTCTGCTGCTACTCTTAAAATTAAATGAAAGAGGCTGCTGTATTCAACTGTTACTTTGTTTTATAGATTATTCTGTGAAATTCTGAAGCCCTGGAATGTAGTTTTTTTTTAAAAAAAATTAAAACGTGATGTTAATTTTGACCTTGATGACCCTACCCTGCTGTTGGAACCGCCTGGCCTGCTCCTTCTAATATCACAGGTAAAGTGGATGCTTTCAGGACCGAATAAGCAAATATGTGTATGGATGGTTTTGCCATCTCCGACAGGATTTTCCTGAGACACCTATTTACATATATTATTTTAATAGCTAACAGTTACTGGGCATTTAGTAATGTGCCAGGCACTGTGCTAAACACTTGATATGCATTATCTCAGTCTTCAAAGCAGACCTATAAATACTGTTCATTTCATACAAGATGAAAACTGATAATTAAAAATTGAAGAAACTTGTGTAAGGCCACAAAGCCACTAAGGGGTAAGCTATGATTCACACTCAGGTCTGTCTGTCTTCAGAAGCCAAATTCCTAATCACTGGGTTATATTTTATCTGTTCCTCTAAAAACATTTTTCTGAGGCTCAGCAATGCCGACTGATTTACTTGACTCTCTGAGAATGAGTGGTAAATACTGGGACTTGCACCCAAGGCATCAATGTAAAGTCAGTGCTTCTCCACCACCCTCCATGGCCTCATAATTTAATTTAATACCCCTGACACTGCCCCGTCAGCACTATTCACAGGCAGATAAACACACAGGAGAAAAAAAAAATAAGACAGAAAAAGCTGGATAGAGGTCCAGGTACAAAGTGAAGCTGGCTCTCTCACTCTCTCTCTTCCATGTCACCATTTAAAGTAGGAAGGAAAACAGAGGAAAGAATGCACATTTAGATGTGGCAGGAAAAAATGAAACTAAATATTACTCTAGCCTAATTTAAGGCAGCTGTATAATCTATATGTTAGGAGGCAGAAAAACAGTTCAAATGACAGAAAAGAGGTACTATATGGATTAAACAAGAACATGTGTTTAAATATTTAAAGTCCACATCTTCACATGTGAAAGCCAGTAATAAAAATGGAAATACATGAAATAAAGTTAATATATCTCTGTTTCATGAGAGATTAGAATGAGAAAATGTACAAAGAGAAAATCTTAGTATTGGAAGCTCTAGAATGCAGTCCCTCACTGAGGGAAGGGACTCCACGAACTGGTCCACCATGGTTACAGAGGTGCACGGTTACATTAGATTTTACAATCCAATCATGCATAGATCAAGAAAACAGATCAATAGCTTAAATCAGTTGCTTTTAAACAGTTATTACAAATCCTTCTCTAAAAACAATTATGAATAGCAAAGCCCAATGAAGTCTAGCTTGAACACTAAAAATTATTAACATCCCCCAAAATAGGTTTTTGAAAGCAGGTTATGATAAAGCAATTCATCCCAATTTTCTCTTCCTCCAAAGGCTGTTATTTCTGCTCTAGCTCTGGCCATTTACTTGTTCTTGGCTTTTTGCTTCTTTCCCTGGCAACCTCCTCAAGAATTTAAATAATTACTAGGCTTTATGGAGCAGTAAATTCAATATAATGTTAGAAAACACTCTCTTCATTTTTCAACAAAAATTTGTAAATGGCATTTGAAAGTAAGGCTTTTTTCTTTTTTTAAAAGAAAACACTGCCGTAGACCAGAGCGCCCCAGTCTGAGAGGCATTTTAAATGGAACACTACTTGAAAAGGAAAATTCATTATGATGAATGTGCCAAGTGAAATTAGAAATCCATTAATGCTAATTGGATACATTCTAAACGTATTAAACTTCTGAAGGTATTTTTACGAACCCTTCGCAATTTCCCGTGAAAACTCATGCATGGTTGCACTTTGGATGTTCCCGCAATTTGACACAATATGGATTATTATGCTTAATAACTTTCGATCCCTCGGGGTGATTGCATAGTCTAAAGAAATGAAAAAAGCTACAATGTGAAAGGAAGTGGAAATGATATATGAAAAATCTTTAAGAATACAAATAGAGGAAACGTGGTTTTGTTTTTTCAAATATAAGAATTATAGAGTTAGATGGTCGCCCTGAAAACCAGCATACGGTAATTGGAACCTACCAAGCCTATGCAAAATATAAAAAATGTCACGAATCGTTTTGCATTTAAGTTCAAGGAGAGTTTTCAATCAACAGATTCTATTTCCATAGTGGTCAGTGAGTGACTCTGTGACATCTGGGCAGCACGTCCCAGCTGGCAAAATTGATGGCGCTGAAGACAAGCCCGTTAGTTCACACACCATCTCTTGGCACCTCTGTCAGAAGCAGAACATGGGGCTTCGTGCAAGAGGGGTACAACAAGCAACACCAATGTTCTCACAACTCAAACCGCTAGCGGAGCAGAAAGAAAAACCCCACAGGTTTGGCACGTATGGATACAAACATAAGTTGCTGAGAGAAAGAAAAAGGGGGCCTCTGATGTCCTGCCGTGACGCTACAGATGGCCACAGATGTGCGCGAGTCTCTAAAGTCACCGAGGCTTCGTACGTGGTTTAAGACAACCTGGAAAGATAGTATCATACGATGAGGGCACTGTTCTTATTCTAAGGTCACTGATACATGGACCTCTGAAATGATAAACAAGTATGCAGTGTCCATTACAACTATGAAAATAAAACCATGTGACACTCCTTAAAGAGACAAAGGCAACGTCACAGCTTCATTCCAGGAACACCCTGGGGAGGGCTGCTGTCCCACCACAAAGCAGGGCAGCATTAGGGATGTCTGGGTCCTGACGAGTCCAGAGGCTGGCCTTCTAGCTCCAGAAAGCCCCTCCTATTTCTTTCTCCCTCCCCATCCAGGGGAGCTATGAGGACATCTGTTTTACTACTGAGCTTTTCTTCCCATTTCCCACAAATCTTCAGCCTGTTTACCCTGAGCCTGATGTGTGTTTAGTCTTCAACGAGGAGATGCTCAAGGCCAAAGATAACATGCAGTGCCTCTGTTTTACCTTCCCGAAAATACTTGTTGGGGGAGGAGGTAGACAATAAGCCAAATTCCAATTTTCTTAATGCAACGAGGACTTTCTGTGTTGCAACAAAATACAATATGTTTCCAATGCAAAATATCTACTTTGGCACATCTGCCCAATAGCAGCTCAATTAAAAACAGGCCCATCAGACTGACACAGTTGCCTTAACTGCTTGGTTCCTGTCACACTGCAGATAGCAGAAAAGCACTTAAAGGCAGCCGCAAGGCAATTTTCCAGTAAGACTTGTTAATCTTTATGCAGTCATTCTCATGTAGCCATCAAAGTAAACTTAATGACAAATCAGTTAAAATAAATTACTTTTAGAAACTTGTAAGTATTGGATAAAAAACAAACCACATGTGACATCTCTTCAGTCCTCCCTGTGATGGCATATAATTGTCACCATCTGCGCTGTTTATTCTGTTTGCCTGGCCTATACACCCCCACCTGCCCCCAGATCCATTCTCTGCCCTTCTCTGTCCTGTGTGGGCCCCAAGAGGCTGACCTCCGTGTATCTGCATCAGCTATGACCTTGCTCTCTGGTTTCCAGCTGGGCCCAGTCAAGGGGCGGGGGGCACCAGAACTCGGAGGCTGGAGGAGAGAGACATCAGGGGGTTACCCACCCTCCTCAGTGCTCCTGCAGCCAGGCAGCCCCTCCAGGTCCAGCTCTCCACAACTCTGGCACTGCTTGCTCCCCTCAGTCCTTCAGGCCCAGTATGCTCCCAGCTCCCAACTGCCGCTCATCCCTGGGTGCTTCACCAGCCCTTGTTTGTTTCTGCAACCCTGCCCACATCTCTGTTATCCCATCGTTACACTCTCTTCAGTCTAAGACAGTCTAAACACCTGTTGCTGGCCAGGACCCTGGCTGACACACTGTCAGCAGCCAGAGGCTCCAGGCTGGGATCACTTACACGGACCGTGTGGACCAGATCGGCCGCCAGGCACTGCTTCAGCTTCTCATCGCTGCCGGTCCCATGAAGCACCAGATCAGGCATGTACGTGGGGCAATAACCTGCCAGAAGGGAGCGGCCAAAGTTTCTCACATTCGGGTTGCTGATGCTCTGCGACCTAAAACGATATTGGTCCTTTAGAACACACTGTTAAAAATGGACTCCTCAAACAAAAACCCGTATGACACATGTAAGAAAAGTAGATGCAGGGTGGTCCGTTTCACCAATCCTCCAGTGAGCAGATCACTGGTGTGGGAAAAGGGAAGAGGCTGTGAGAGACAAAGCATTTTTCTTTTTTTAATGGAAAGGCAGGAAAAAGACAGTATTTTGATGGCTGGTTACGAGTCTGTTCTTGTATCTCATATGGAACATCCACTAGGCAGTGTGTGTCAAGAGAGTGAAGAAGGAAAAAGTCTGCTGAGCGGGGAGCGTGCCAAAAGCCTGGCTTCAGGAACCAGACACATCTGTACAGGGTGGTGCTCACAGCAGCGCGACAGCACAGAAGTCTCTAATTACTGCTTTCAGTCATGGCAGACCAAAATAATCGACCTGACGGAGTGTTAAGGAAGAGGTGTTGTTTCCCAGCCACTTCATGCGGCTCCGACCTGCAGGAGAGAAGCCACCTCGCGAGTGTAAAATCCACCACCTCCGAAGCACAGCATCTGCTGCCGGCCACGTGACTTGCATCCAGTCGACAGAAAATTAAACCCCTTGCTCCCACCACCACCCCCATCACAGCCCCTAGTTTCCCTTCGAATCTCACAATAGTTGCAAGGGGACCCACTCAGAGAGCTCAGATGCACTCAGGCTGTGGTCATCCTTGGAGAAAGAGCGGGCTGGAAACCGACTGTATCAGTTTGATAACACTTCTAATACTTAAACAAACAAACAAACAAAATCGGTTGTATCTGAAACAGCCAACAGCAGCTAACATGATCATGGCTCGTAGGTCAGGAAAACAGTATCTGAACCCAGGCCCCTCCGCTTCCCAGCCTGCCAGTGTTACCTTGGCAGAGGCAGCTCCACCTCCAAGGACCCATCAGTCTGGTCACTACTGTGACCTAGATTCAGCGTGGCTGAAGCACATGCTTCATCGTCACTGTCCCCAAGAGCGCTATCGGAACTTTCGTTTCTGGGAATGTCTCCTTCGATCCTGAAGTCGGCCTTCCGGTCGGCATCCCCACAGGGGACATCTGCAGCAACCGAGACACCAGAGTCCTGCTGCACGCACCTGCTGGGAACAGGCTCCAACAAAGGTCCTTCCTCATCCTGCGAATACAAACCTCGGGCTTTCTCCGGCGTCCTCTGCTCAGTCCCTGTCGCACTGGCATCAGGTACAAACGAGCCAGCAGGTGGGGTGAGCTGCCTGGTAGTATCTGCGGCCACCCGGGCTCCAAGGCCTCTGTCCCCAGTGTGACCCCTGTCAGGCTTGCCTTCCTTCCCCTCGGATGGCTGATTCTGAGGGCAGCAGACCTTTCGGAAGCCAGGTGGGAAGGAGCACCCAGGAGGCTGCTGGTCCAGAGCCATGTCCGCGGTCACCCTGGGCTCAACTGAGGGACGCCTGGCTAACTCAGGATATTGTCCACAGGCCTTTAGCAGTTCCTCCATTTTTTGGGTGCGGCTTTCAAAGTCAGACTCTGGAGACACGGAGCTTCCAATCTGGAAAGTAACCTTTTCTAAGGGTAGCTTCTCCCGGGAACGTCCGTCAGGGCAAGGCCAGGCGGCTGACCGGTCTGGTAGCTTCTTAGGCATCTCCCCTTTCAACTCCTCACTGACCTTCAATCGCACCCCCAAACCTTCACAGCTGGAGAATCTGGAACAGCCATCACCTAGTGCCTCGTTTTTACTTTCTTCCTCCCCAGAAAACACGTTCCGAGGTTTCCAAGAGCTGTCCAGTGCTGGCTCTTGGTATCCCAGGCTGCAGGCCACAGAACTCTTGTTTCCTTCTTTGTCAGGCCTGGGATATAGGTCGCTAATATCGGTGCCCTCTGGGGTCCCAGCCAAACCCTCAGGCCTGGGGCTCCGTCCCTCGGCTGTCGTCGCTGGTGGCAGGATGGGGGGAAGGAGAGCAGGCTCACTTCTCACTGTGACTACCACGTACTCAGACTCCTCCACCTCCCCCCTCTCCAAGGCCGTGGTGATGCTGCTCCCGTTTATCATCTGGTCGTCTTCTCCATGACTCCCGCTCCAGGTCAGCTGGTTCTCTTGCAGCTCAGAGCAACGGAGAAAGTAGGTCAGGACGTAAAGTATGCGTTGGACCAAACTCTTCTGCTTCCCCAAGACCACAGTGCGAGTCAGCCTCACGGGAGAGCCGATGGCTCCGTAGAGATCGCCTACAGAGCAAAGTGGACACAAAGACAAAGTCGTCTGGGGTGAGTGTGTCATGGATATGTCAGCCTTTACAAGAGAAAAACATACTCCCAAACTGGAATCACTTCTTCACACACTTGACTGAAGCAGAGAGGTAATTCCTAGAATGACAGTGTTTTAGTTTTGCTTCTAGAGTGGAACGTCTGCCTGGAAAGGCCTGGCACAGGCCCTGGGCCTGCTGCTCTTGGTGCATGGGGATAGTGCTGGCTGACACAGCCCCGTGCTGTGCTTGTTAGGCCTTCCCATGAAGCTCACTGGCTGGCTAGCTCCCCCAAACCCCACCCCCCAGAAGGCTAAAGCCAGAGCCTTGAACATGTGATCAAATCAAATACTGTATTTTGGAAACTAGAATGATGAGACTTTTTTAGAAGAAGCCCTGGACAATAGGCTTTAGGGTGAAATCCAAATTCAGGGATCTCTGAACTAAAGTACAGTGAATCAATTCAAAATACTTAATGAAATGGCCTGTTCGGAATTATCTCAATACACACAAACACACACATCCAAGTAGAACCAACTTAATTAACAAGAAGAAAATCACTTAGTCATGAATAATATGATTTTGAATATGAATATCTGAATATTTCTATCACTTCGCATGAAAATTCTACTGGGAAAAAAATTATGTCCCATAAGTTATCTCCTGACAAGTTGATTAAAAATTGGCTAATGAACCATGAACATCTGACTCGAAGGTAGAAGGAGAAGGGCAAATGTGTCAATGAACCTAGCAGTATAAGCTTTCATCAAAAAGTCCTGGTAGTACTTGGATGGGAGACCACCTAGGAAGACCAGGTGCTGTAGGCATAAAAAATAAAAAAATAAGGGATTGTAAGATGACAAGGTCCTTGTAATCTGTGAGGTCAACCAAGGGTTGCCTCCCCTAAAAAAAAAAAAAAAAAAGGTACTGGTCAACTGCTTATCAAAATTATTGCATTTGACAACCTGATGATTACATTTGATAAGTTATGTATTTGACACTTTGGTAATAATAGTGACAATTACTACAAAAAGCCAACACTTACAGACTGTGCAGGCATAGTGCTAAGTGTTTTACATGGATTTATCTTGTTTACACCCCTGCATAACCAACCCTGATTTAGAAACCATTACAGAAATAAACAAAATGTTGGAATAAATTGAAACTTGAAAAGATACTGAATAAAGGAGAGGAGATACATGGTAATAGATAACTATTAACTAATAAGTACTCAGGAAATTAGAACTCATCTGAAGAATGCATCTAGAAAGAGGAGGGAAGGCATTCATGGGGCATGTAGTAGGTAAGACTAAATTGATAAAGACTGAGGGAAAAGTGATGGGTACCACCAGGAAGTACTTCCCCTGGGAACCATCAGGACGTATCTCCTCAGGCAAATGTTCCCCAGTGTGAGGCTACTGCATCTAAGAAGGTTTAAAGGGCCGCAAAAAATATTAAACAATCCTCTCTATAAAAAGACTAAATTACAAGTTAATAGAGCTTTATCTAGGGTTTTGCAACTGAGAAATCATCCACGAATTCAAAAGAATAACCGAGAATTGTGGTCTGATGCTAGGACTCGTACTCCTACTGGAGAAAACTTTCTTGGCTAAGAACTCAGTATCGTTACTTCTCTGTGATTACACATGTCCAGTGCTATGGGGTATCATAGTTATGTCAGGAATTCATGGAACTCTTTTGTGAACTCGGTTTCAGTGTCAATAAAGATAAGCATTACATATCCAAAACCTGGTATGAAAAAACCACAGAGGAAAAGCCACTCAGAATGACAGCATTATTTTTGAGCAATGCATTTAACTTTCGTTAGTGTACATTTTAATATCTAAGTCATAAATGGGAAGAAGTAAAACAAAGGAGGCTATTACAAATACAACTTATAATAATTTAAACTATATAAAAAAACAATTTAAACTATATAAAGTAATGAGAACAATGTGTGTGGAAACAGTGCCTTTACTAAAGGGCCAAATTTCATAAAATAACGCAGCATTAAAATAACAGACCTGTAATATTAAAGATTTACTGGATCTTGAACTTGAAGACAATTTTTTTGAGTCCCGGACTGACGAAGCTACTAATTTAGAGTAGATTCTTTTGTTCTCATGAGTATAATTTTGCAAAATGAAGGCGAGTTGAACAATGTGAACAGATGTAACATGACAGAACTGTACACTTAGAAATGGTTAAGGTGATGTTATGTTCTGTGCTTTTTTAAAACCACAATTTAAAATACAAACATAAATTTAAAGAAAAAGGGAGAAAATAGAAGACAGAAAAAAATAGGTGGGGTGCAGTGTGTGTTTGTAGGTAAAAGAGAGAGAGGCCAGAGAGAGGTAGGGGGGAGAGGGAGGGAGGAAGGGAGGGAAGGAAGGAGAGAGAGACTGCTGCGGACAGGGTGAATGAAAAGAGAGATCAGGGAAAGAAGGACAAATAAGAGAAAGGAGACAAACAGAGGGACACAGAACATACACTAGAGGGGAAAGACAGAGTGAGCAAAGGAACAGAGAGAGGGGACTTCGGAAGGAAGAGGGGAAGAATAGACAGGAGGATAAAGAGAGGGAAGGAGAAAGAAAAGATGAGAGCTGAGAGGTGCAAAATGGTAGAGAATCAGAGAGAAGCACAAAGAGGGTGAGGAGAGGTGAGGAAAGCAGAGAGGAAAACACAGAAAGAGAGGAGGAAAAAGAAGATATTAGGGGAACTGGGAAAAGATGAACAATACAGAAACTAGAAAGAGCGGGGGAGAATAAGATAGGGGGCTAGAGAATGAGTTGAAGCTGAGAGAATTCAGGATTATCGTAAAGAGGGGATGGTAAACAGTGAGGGCGAGAGAGGTGGGCGGACACGGAGATGGAGAAACAAAAACAGAGGGAAAAACAAGAGACAATTAAAAAGGAGACAAGCAGAGAAACTGAGTATCTTAAAGGGCCACTCATTCATTGATTACGTGCTATGAAGTCCCCTTTAAAGTGTTGCCCTAATCCTACACAGTGTAATTTACTGTATCTTTATCATCATTTAGTTCAAACTACATTGTAATTTCTCTTGTGAAGTATTGTTTGGCTTGTGGGTTATTTAAATATGGTTATTTAATCTTTGAGCAGGTGGGAATTTTTTCCTTATCATCTAGTTTATTGATTTGTAGTCTAATTCCACTACATTCTGAAAGATACAATTTAAACTTTTGGAGGAAAAAAAGGAGAGGAAATTTCAGACTCTTTTACTTATATTAATTTAAAGTAACAATCTCAAACTTTTTTTTTTTTTTTTTTGAGGAGAAAGGCTGCTTTTCATTTCCACAAATCCTTGAGCTCATTAGGGTCAAAAGAGCCCCCATGGAACTCCTTCAATCAGTGGCGAAAGAGGGTGGCTTTCAAACTTTGTGTACCCATCCCAAGAAAGAAAAGCCTGCAACCTCACACTCCCTCTGAAACAAGCATTTTGCAAAACATATGTGTGACTGATGGTTTCTATTCCATTGGACCTTTTAAATGTTTTTTTTTTTGACCCACTAAATGGCTTCTACAACCCACCAATGGGTGGTCGCTACACTGTGGAAAACCCGTGTGAACAGAGCACGTGTTATGCAGGGTGGGGTGGGGACGGCTGAGCTCCTCAGCAGCAGCTTCCGGCTTCTCTCCTTTCTCTGCAGGTGCTGAAACCAGGCAGAAGTGGGCGCAGCAGTGGTACCTGTCCCGGCAAGCTCTCAGACATGTCTTTCAAACAATGCAAGATAGAATCTTTTCTATTACTCAAGAACCTGGATTAAAATTACATCTGCATCAGTGTATAGTTCCAGAAATTAATTTTTCCTGTTTATGTGACTTGGTAAATAGTTAATAAAAATATAATAATAATTGGAAATAAGTGTCTTCCCCTGTCAAATTATTGAACCCCCTCGATGTCTTATAGTAATGGAAATTCAACCATCGTTTACACAAAGTTATCAAGTGACCTGTGCCTGGGCCCCATTCCCTCCTCACACCACTCTGTCAACAGCCAGAGGCTACTGGATCCTCTGGGGGAGCGGAGGGTGGGAGACTCAATAATACATGATTTCCTTTCCAAAGGGACTGTGAGCCCACTGGGAGGGACTTTGCCTTGTTACGCTGAACCCAGGGAATTCATGGGTCGCGGTTAGTTAAATTTCAAATGAGAATCATGTCTATTTATAAATATACTTCTCTAATCAACCGTGCAATGCTCAATTAGCATTGTTTTTAAATGGGTGACCAGGCAGCATGAAACACCACAGTTCCTCAATATCCAGCCCCCTTCCCTTCACCACTGAATGATACCACCTTTCTTCAAGACTATTCTATAACACAAACAATGATGCTCTGTCCTCCCCAGGAAGAACCGATGACCCAGTGAGTCAGGCACACTCTAAGTCCTTTTCCGAGCTCAGTACTGATTGGTTGCATTAAACCCATTTTAACATCCATAAATTCTTTATTAATTCATTTAACATGACCTATTATCTCCCTAATGGTGAAGCAGGTATTCTCTTTCCTTACACATCTCAAGACGTAGGGCACAAGGCAAGACTTCTTTATTATCTATAAAATGAGGGCAATAGTAATTGGCCTGGACCGAGAATCTAATTAATTAACACATGTAAAAAGCACTTAAAACATGCTCAGCTCACAGTGACAGATTTCATTATTGTTATTATAACATGCTGTTTTCTAAGATTAGAGTGCTTTTCTCCAGTCTGTAATTCTTTTTTGGGAAAATGCCATTTTAAAATTTTCTCAAGTATCCTACCCTGAAAACTCCATCCATCCCCCTCATTCTCAGTGCCCCTCCAATATCAGTATTTTCGTCAGCAGCATCAGTAACAAAGGTGCTTTATGTATAACTAATTTAATTCCCACAGTAACCATGAACTACTTCTATTCCATTTTACAAGTGAAGAAACTGAAGTACGGAGAGGTCAAGTCACCTGCCCATGAAGACTGGACATGACCTAGGCAGTCTGGCTCTGGTACCCACTCTCTTAACCTCTATGCTATACAGTCTCTCTCTTGCATCCTTGTTTGCGCATCCTCATCAAAGGAGTAATCAGGATATCTTGTGATCATCTGAATACAAATGTGCCTCCTCCATTAGGCAGCTAGCTTCCTGAGGCTTAGCAACACATGCTATTCAACTCCACATCCCCGACGTCTTTCTCGCACCGGGTCTGGGATGGAGTGAGTGTGCAAATTTTAGTTTTTCACTCTAAACGTTTGCTGAGTGAGAGGTCCTAGAGTATACCTCTCCTCTACATGAACCCAAAATAAGCAAAACTGGTCCCATAAATCTCAAACTCCATACCCAACTATGCCTATTCCTATACCATGCCTCAGCATAAAGCTTTGAGGAAATAAATGCTACCGACTAACTGCAAGGAAGCAGTGTAGAGAAAGATAAAGGTTCTGACTTAAGCTAAAATTAAAAAGGTGGTGAAATGATAGTATGTTAATTTCTTTTTGTCTTATTTTTCTATCCAGTCCATCCTCTGGGGCAGTGGTTCTCCACCAGTGGGCGTCTTGGCCCCCGGGGGCCACTCAGCAACGTCTGGAGAAATTTTTGACCATCACAGCTTTGGAGGGGAATTTTCACTGGTAGCTAGTGAACAGAGGGCAGTGGTGCTGCTTAACACTGTACAACGCACAAGACAGCTCCCAACACCCACCCCACAAAGAACTGCCTGATCCAAAATGTGATAATGCCAAGGTTAAGAAGCTCTGCTCTAGGGTGAACTGCTGCGTGGTGTGGGAGTGCATGGTTGACCCACACGGCTTCACAAAGCAGAACGAAGCTGCTAGCAGGGAGAAGGCCAGGACGGTGGTAGCCTTACCTTACAATCTGTGGGCCAATCTCCTAGTCCCTGCATTACCAGGTTGGACAGTTAATATCGACTAAAAATTCTAGCATTTTCCCTATTCCATCCCATACAGTCTCTGAAGAGTCAGATCAGGTACTAACCCAGTTGCGCCCAGAGAGGATTATACGGATGTGTTTTGGCCAGCGTGTTCACTGACTGGGAGGTGCGTTTCTCTGAGAAGGCTTTAATGGGAGGGTGGTCAACAGGCATGACAGTCGGAACCCAGGCCAGGTGGTAGGTTAACACCGCAGTCAGTAAGGCAGCAAAAAACCTTAGAAAAGTAGAAGAAAATACAACCAGATGAGTCAGTGCAGAAAGAGGCATGTCATATACAGAGCATACCCTGGCCACGGAATTTGCAGGTGAGGCTCCAAAGAGTGGAACTTACTGGTTTTTGTTGATCTGTTCTATAAGAAGTGTAAACTCCTTGAGAAAACGCTGGCAAAGCTGGGTTTTTTCCAAAGTGCTGGACATCATGGTAAGCCATACGGGTTCCGCTATCCTTGGAACAGAATACAAGTTCCAGATAGTCCCTCTACAGAAAAGAGAAACGATGTATGAAACTGTCACAAATATTATTCTGGGTAATCTTTATATAAAGGAATAAAGACAAAAACAATAATCTGGATCTATGTTGGATTCAAGCGATTCAAGCAGAATATAACACAGGGGCCAGTAAACTATAACCCCCAGGCCAAATCCGACTGCCACCTTTTTTTGCGGATAAAGTCTTACTGGAACACAGCCACACTCATTCAACTACATTTATCTGTCGCTGCTATTGCACGAAGGCAAAGTTGAACAGCTATGACAGAGATCCTTTACAGAAAAGGTATATTGACCCTTGATATAAAATATCAAGCAGGTTACTCTTCCACCCAGACATTCAGGGGCAAGGGCTCTAGAAAACTGGTGTCTGGAGTACAAAGACCATCAATTAGAAACTAACAATGAAGACACACTAGGACGATCACTTAATGCGCAGGCCATGACGCTTATGGGAGGACCCTGGGTATGAACCAGGACTGTCCTGGCAAAGGGCAATGTGTACCTCCCTGACAGACACAGTCTTCCCATCAATGCTTCGAATTTGTTTCCACATCTATAACACGGGATAATAGTGCTTACTTTCAGGACTTTTGTGAGCATGACTTGAAATAACGAACAGGCTTATAAGACACACTCGAATATCAGTTTTCTCCATTCACCCTGTTAAAAATAACCACACTGAGGTCCATCTGCCAGGTAGGAGTAGTGAGGATTAGTTGGTGCTGGGCAACTCAAATTTTTTGCTTCTTTGGTCTTAGTTTCAATCTTGAAGGCAGGAGGGGCTAACATGACTAGAACCGGCAGCCCCCAATTCTTCCAAGTCATGGTCTCCATGTCTCCCTAGGTCCACAGCTGCCGCTACTCATAAATCTCCCATTAGATTTGACAAACTTTGCCAATTTACCTGAATTCCCCCAAAGCTTCCATCAGACGGGTGACATAAAACTGGACACGGAGGCTCGATTCTGCTATCTTCCTACAGGAGATCATGGCCTTCATTAAAGAGAAACAAGCCAAATTACCCTCTGAGGAGAAACTGCTTTATAACTATCTATTCGGCTTTATTAATAAAAGACAATACTATAATCAAAACAGTCAGGTAATAATCATTGAAGTCAAAGGGAAGCAGTGATTTCCTTTCTGAAAGCAATGCAGTATCTGATGTCTAACATCAATCTGCCTAAGGACCTATCGCTGCTGCAGATGATTTACGTTCTCTAGGAAAGTGATCTGATGCCTAAACAAAGTGTTTCTACCACCTTTAAAGCCCCATAATCGCTTCTCTATTTCACACCGGATTACATTCTTATTACCTTTTCAATTGCACTCTTCAGCCTATTCATGTGAGACTCAAACAGGGGGAAATGAGAAAAAAAGAAGTCCTGGAAATTTCTTTGGGCTTCTTCTTTCTCACACAGGGAAAAGATGATGCTTATGGCAATTTTCTTCCTCCGAACTATGGCCGGGTTAGAACTACAGGTTTCTTCAGCCAAGCTGAATGTCTCATCAGTTGACCTGGAGGAAAAGTAAGTTTAAAGAGTTGCATCAATAAATCATACTGAAGATTAACTCTTAATGCCAAAGTATAGCACTCAAGACAGCTAACCCAGACGCTTATCTAAGAGTCTGTCTGCCTCATTGTCTAATTCATTCTCTTCTACAATTCTGTCATGAAAATATCAGCTTGCCACGCAGTATTATCCTAACCTGAAAAGAAACTTAAATGAAAACTAAAAGTAACCTCACACGTCCTCTTGTTAGACTCTTAGTTCTTTTCCCTGGGACTATTTTGTGTCAGATTGGTGGTATTTAGGAAGGAGTGTGAAACATCTGTTCACTCAACACCTGGGCCCTTTGCTCTGGTTGACAGACACCAAGAGATAATAACATGGGAAGAGAAAGGATCCTGTGTGGTATTCAGCTTAACTGAGGGTCATGTTGGATATTTCCCCAGTAGCTGAGGCTCTTTCCTAAGGCTTCCCCCATTAGGTAAAGTAATGCTCAGGTCATACCATGTGATCATCAAGCCCTCTGGGACATCCCCTGGCCAGAAAGAGCCACTTCTTTTCTGGTACAGTCAAATTCTCAAAAAACAAGATTCTTTCAAGAGAGGCTGCTTCTATGATAAGAGAATCACAAAGCCAATAAATTCTGAATACATGTTCAATTTGTTTTAAGAGGGATATCTCGCAATATGGCCTGATCAGGTCTCTTATTTAACTATTCTGAAAAAAAACAAAAAACAAAACAAAACCCAGCAAAATTAACGACTTAACTACTAACAATAAGAATGAAAATAACAGAATTGGGTTTTTTTCCCCCCTACAAAGACATCAAAGCAAAGGACATAATATTGCAAATGAAAGTACCTAGCCTGGCACATGGTAGTTATGCAATAAGTTTTCTTGCTCGTCGACTCCCCCATTTAGTCTCAAATCTCTGCCAAATATGGGAGGAACACGACTTGCTCCATGTTCTTTACTACAAATCACAATGCGACAATTACTTATCTTGGCAGAATTCGAGGCAGTTAGCCACTTACTCTTGGCCTTAAATTTCTTATTTAGTGCTCCACTCATAGTCTATAATGTGCCTGTGATTTCAAACATACCCACATTTTCAAAAACATACATACATCAAAAGTTTTATGGTCAGGAAAGCTATTTTTATTTTTAAAGGAAAGGAGAAAGACATTTTGTTCTGACCTCAGAGAGAGATGTTATTGTTTCTCTCAACTTCAAGCAAGATGCCAGAGATGTAAGTGCGGCTGATGAATCAGTAAAAGGCTCTCACTAACAGACAAGCCACTGGCAGGACATCATCTCCAGGTGCTGTTGTAAATGCTATGCATTAATAACCACCAACTGTTTTCTCTGAGAAATTCCTAGATCCTAATCATTTGCTCATCCGAAAAAAATTCTTGAAGCTCTCTTAGAATTTTACTTAATTTCATGTAGTGCTCTCTCTGCTTTTCCAAAGTACCTGTACTGTAACTTTGTTTCCCTGCACCAGTGCATTTCTATTCTGTATAGGAAATTCTAAGCTTATCTGATACCAATACTTTCTTGCAACTCTTTCTTCTTTATCTCCTATCCCTTCTTTTTCAAAAGTAAAATGACCATACCGGTCCATTCGCCTTTGGCCAATGTAGTCTTTAACAATCAAATTGCAATAAACATTGAACCTTTTGCAGATTTAGGCATCATCTTCATCTCTACCCTACAACCAATAACCAAGTCCACTTTAACACAGGAGAGAGTGCCACCTACTGAATTTCTGAAAAACTTCTATAGCTACTATAGTGTGGATAGCTAGCTCTCACTTGCTTCACTGTATTGGTCCATTGAATTCTAAAGCAAATGAGCTTTATTCTGTAATCTTGGATCAATCATGCAAACTGAAATAAATTAGGTCATGCAATATTTTAATTATGTTTTTAAAATTATTCCACAATGAAAGGTTTCAGGTATGTATCCAGACACTCCATCTTATCTTTACCATTAAGTCACTTACAAGTGAGGTACCATAGACCGTCTTGCAAATGTGGAAACTGAGGCAGAGTGATTAATCAACTTGCTTCAGGAACAGAAAACTTCTTAGTGACAATACTAGAGTTAGAACCCAGGGTTTCTGTCTTCTAATCTAGGCTCATTTCTTGGACACTGGAAGTGACCAGGGACTCTGCCCTCATGTGTGATCCGTCTGCTGGTGTTCGTGTGGTCAGATGCACCATGCCAGCTGAGCACTGAGGGGACATAGATGGGAGCAATCCCATCAGCCGACAGGCTTTCAAGTTAAGGAAAGACTACTGCTACTCACTTACTTTTTCTCCTTATAAAAAAATCAAATAGAATTTTGTTGACACAAACAAGCATTTACATACATCGAGTAGTTTGGGATCACATATAAAGCAAAAATAATAATTATTTAAGTACATCTCCGTGACTTATACTAGATATCAGCACTGCAGAGTCTAATTGTTTATGTTGGCTTTGAACTTATGCTGAATCTATGGATACACTAGAACAAAGTGAAATCGCCATTTCTACGGGTTAAAGAACATCCTGTTAGCAACTTTATATGGTTTGTGTTCCTTTAGGGTTTCAATAGCCTCACTAAGGAATGAAATCTCTGCTGCTTTTCTCCCACTGCAGGCAGTATTTCTGTGCCAGCTGCTAAATGCCCAAGCCTGATTTCCTGTCCAAGAACCAAAGTTTACCACCTGGCACAGCAGGGGGCCTTGAGGCGTGGGTGTGCCGCTGCACACAAGATCCTGATAAGGACTGTGAATGTCCTGACTACCTTTAACTCTTAGGAAGAAAGTTTTGGACTACGGTGAATTTTCTTCTCAAAGCCAGGGAAAATCATATTTTCAGGACTCACTGTTCTCCGGTCTATCACAAAGTACTAGTTTTCCTACGCAGACACCAGCCAAAAAGGAGAGCTCGATGGCAACATCCTTTAAATGAAGGGATTTTCATAGGCACAGGGATCAGTTCAAAATGTCCTTTCCATTCTCCACGTTAAACAGTACTGAATCCAGGGCGAGCTTGACAGGCATGCATCTTGCTCACATAGCCTCCTGCTCTCAGAACGGCCCTAGGTTTGGTTTAATGTTCTGCAGTTGCTATCTTGAATTCATAATAATTTTATCTCTGAATTTGTAAGTGAAGCGTGATGGGACAATGAAGCATGTGTGTGAGCAGTAAAGACAGCAGGCTGCAGAGCCACTGGGGGGCTCAGGCCCGAGGGCACGCAACCCCAACAGGGAACAACTAGCCTGGCAGTCAGGCACACAGCCACGTCTGGGCAGTCCCGGGTGCCAAAAGGCTCCAACGTGACAAGACTGGGAACTAGGCCCAGACTGGTGGCCGTGACAGTGGCAGCGGCAGAAACAGGGGCAGTCACGGCCATGAGCGAGGGGAAGGATTTGGGCAGGGCTGTGACCCACGTGGGAAGCCAGCTTGTCCGTCCATCATCAGAGCCCATCCCTGTGGAGTCTACACAAATATTTAACTCTCGAACCTGAGCCCCAGAACAGTAAATAATCACAAAATAAGAGCCTACAGTGGGTACTGCAATAAAGCATATTAGGGAGTTATTAAAATTCTTCAAAGAATTTATAATCTCTGGTTTTGAAAACTGCGGCAACATTGTAAATCAAATATCCACAGGCATTGAAATAGAAAGTAAATGGAAAGAATGTTGTATTGGACAGAAAAAAAACCCCACTATTTTCATATGAAGCCTCCGATAAAGAAATTATTAACAAGAAAGCCCAGTTTAAAATTAATTTTCCCTATAATGGAATATGCAGTGATAGAATGCATAAGGTATTTTAAATTATATACAACTCAGGAAGACTCAGTTTCTTGTAGGACCTCCATAAGTTACAGGAAATGTCAGAGGAAACATTAAAATAACCTTGTATAAATTCATTATTTAAAATTAAATTCGGACTTACACAAAATTCATTTGTATGAAGAATTAAGTCATTTTAATTAGCAATGAATGCGCCTCAGATAAGCCTCATTGGCTATGATACTGCAACTGTGCCAAGCTAGAATTAAATCTTTTTAGAAAAACCGTTCCACAAGAACATCTCCTTCATCTGATTCAGGTGTACTAAAATTTACACTCTAAAAGTTTATCGGAAGTGTATCTCAATGTTGTCATAACCTACAAAGCTCCAGTAGCAGCTGCATCAGCAGAAAGATCTTTCTCAAAATAAAAAAAAAATCATCAAAAACATTTGCCATCTTGCATTTGCCAGGAGCTAGTAATACCACTTTTAATTACATCAGTTGATGTAGAAATTTTGATGACCTAAACAAATGAATTTGCAGAAAAGCCAGAAAAATCTTATTATAAATCAAGGTATGACATTATTACTATTTATTATATTACATAAAATGACACTGACGTATTACTTTTTTGCAATTTATAAATTTATGTTATTATTCATGTATCATTGTTATTCCTATTACATTTTGTAAGTAAAATATTTTTAAAGAAAAAATTTACGTTTTAGTACCCTTTAATGGCACGTTTTCCTGCTTTTTGAACAAGGAGCCCTGCTCTTTCATTTTTGAGCCTAAAATACTTATTTTAAGTGTAAGTTCCCGAGAGATCCGTTAGTTCCCAGTGACAGGTCTCAATTCAAATTAGTTATTGAAATGTTTCGGAGGACTGGGTTAGAGAATGTTATTCAATTCTGCATTCGAATCCGAAGGACAGCAAAAGCATTTTTAGTAAAGGGAAGATGTCTAAAGGGGAAGGCTTCCAGGACCATCTATTTCTTCCAATCACAGAAGCTGCCATAATGACAGTGAGGATGGTAGGATACCTCCCCCTGACAGCTGCAGTAATAATAACGATAATGATGGGAATAATAATAGTAAATAAGTCACATTGGCCAATATTTTATTTACCATATCTCGTCCGAGCCTGACTTAACTTGCTATAGCTCATTTAAGTCTTCCAGTGACACGGTGAGACTGGTACTAGTACAATGACATTGCAGATGAGGAAGCAACACTTAGAATACAGGTTAGCTTGTTCTCACATTCACCTAGTGAGCTAGGACTTGTCCCACACCAAATCCCAAGCTTAACCATTCTACTCAAAGTCCACCAACCAAGAGCCAGTTCCTCAGTGAGTGATGTACTGTAAGTTTTCTTTCGTCTAGCTCCTTAGCACCGTGAGAGCAACGGGAGAGAGGCGAGCAGCCTGACATGTGCTGCACACACACCTTGAGCCCTTGTTTCTCAGCATGTCCTTTCAGCACCATCTCTGCCGTGAAAAGCTCCCCAATTGCCCCCACGGCCGCCAGCAAGCGTTTGCTTCCTTCTCTGAATCCCAAAGCACTTCAAGCCTCTCTACAGCCATTTAACATCTTCATATCACTATATATCTGTAAGCTACTTAATTGCAGACAGGTAGCTGAATCATCTTTACACCTGCACAGATCCCTTCACACAGTGATTACTAGTCAGTTTGTTAAATCAACCGATTTACATGTGAATTTTTGTATGTACAACCCATCTTAATTTCCTTTTAAGTTTTCATGTTGTAGGAAAAAGTGGTTGGAAGCTACTGATATAACAGCATTGTAAGCCCAAAACATACATTTTGCACAGAACTAAACTTTAGATCTAAAAGCCAACTGAAATAAAGGCAGAAAATACCTTAATGCCATCTTATTCATAATCTGATTCTTAAACTGTTCAGTTTAAGAATTTAAGTTTTACAAAGAGAGCTATGTCAATCATTGAGCTCATATATTTTCGAAGCTCACACTGGCATCACTGAAAGCCAAGGGAGAGATTCACTCTACCCTTCTAACTCGTGAGAGCTACATCTGGAAGGGAATCAATTAAAAGAGAGAGCATATTACTCATTTTAAATTAATACCAAATCTAGCTCATTCATGGCACAACTACCCGAATATTTTCAGTGTCTTCCAAACCAGGTGATTTTTTCTTTTTCTTTTTTTGATATTCTTTCCAGGAAACTTCTAACTTCTAGACTCAGGCTAAACTGAAGCTAATCTAAAAGTTTTAGCTCTCTTTTTCCCTTGACAACAGGTGAGTAAGGTCCTGCCAGTCTCATCGTGCTGCCTACACTAGTACCTTTCTCAGCAAGAGGAAACTGCAGCTCACCTCCTTGGAAAGATGCCGTTCTCCAAACTTGTTGTCTGACTTCGAAGCCAGCGGCGCTGGTAACTGCTGGAAGAGGATGCAGAGGAGCTTGGAGATGGGAAAGGTGTAATCAAAAGGCTGCTTAGTGAGGCTGTGGGGAAGAAAATTTGAAAGGTGAAAAGTTGAGGCAAATGAGCACTCATTCTAAGTAACCGAAATTTTCAGGTTCTACCAGTCATATCCAGCAGGGGGAGACTATAACTTCTGTTACTAAAGACTTCTGTACAGCGAAGAAAACAAATGAGAAGAAACGAGGATTACAGACATAGCACATGTGTCAATTATCAGGCTCTATATTACAAAAGCAAAATAATTATTATCTAATGGAGTGTAGATTGCAGATATCTGATAAAATAATCCACATAACTGTTTATATTGCTACCTGGTAACCAATGTACACTTAACACAAAGTATACACAATGTATACTCACACATATTGCTTCCTCTTGACTACTTCACTCCATATTTTGAGGTGAAATCTCGGTAAATAAGTTGCTGTTCCACATAATATCCTCTCTCCTGCTCCTCATCTCCAAATACACAGTATTTACCCCTCCTTCTCTCCAGCTCCCCTGCCACTCTATCTGCTGTGAAAGAGAAACCTCGAGTCTTAAATTTATGTTTTCTGCTTGGATTACTTATTTGTCTCTAAGCATCTCTGCTTCCTCCTGCTAGATAATGTTAGATGCCTGAACTTGGACTTGTAGTGGCATGAGCTGACACACCAGCCCAGACTTCTCTAACAGGCAGGGAGGGATTGGTCCTACTCAGGTAGGCAAAAGGTTTCTTTTAAATCACAGCTGCTTGGTGGGTGTCTACTGGTTTGAAAGACTGGAAAGTGGAGACAGACTTTTTCTCCTTTCACTTTCCTAGGGCTAAAAAATTAGACAATGAAATGTTACTAGTGGAAAAGAAAATGGAGTGTTACAAGTGGCTAGTCAACATTTTCAGAAGCAAATCATAGGGCAAAGGAAATGATTTCAGTACATACAGTGTACTATGCTCATGGATATCACCTGATGAGGCAGTTTCCCCAAAAGACTATTATATTTTTTATTTACACTTCTACAGGCAGATGGAAATAACCTGACTCTGACCTGTGTTCTTAAATCCTATAAGACTTACTTGTCTATTACCCTATAATCAATAAACAAATGCTGAATGTCCACAATGTGCCAGGTGTTGTGGTAGGCAACTGTGATGCAGTGGTGGGCGAGACACACACATATCTGTCCTAGTGGAGCTTCAAGTCTACAAGAATATCACTGAACTTCCCAGGCTACAAAATTTAAATGCGTAACAACTCAGGCTTCTTTCTACAGCACAGGTCTATAAAATGCTTTTCTTCTAATCTAGTTGATATTCACGAAAAGTTTGTTTGGTAAATCGTAACCACCTTTGTATGCCCTGTGCCCAGGACAGTGCCCTGAACACAACAGACAATACAAGTCTACTGAATGCTCAGCGCCTCCTCACTGAAGGGCTACCTGGATGTGGCTGGCCCAGCAGGTGGCCTCTGTTCTGACCTGGTTTCAACCTTGAGGTTACACTTAAACCTCCAAAATCAAATCCACATTTCAAATAACAGTGAGTGAGTAATTTTACTGAGAATCTTCAAAGGGGATAGAAGAAAGTTTTTCCTCAAAGTCACACAAAATTAATTAATAATAAATCCTGACTAGACATTTCTGTTCCACCCCCAAGTTCTCCAAGTCCCAGAAGACTCCTGTTCCCGATTCCCAAATCTTCAGGGTCCCTTGTTCCTCTCCCTGTCTTATGCTGAGCAAATCAACTTCTTCTTGTCAGGTGGAGAACATAGTCGAGGCATAGTACCTGTACTATAAACATTTTTTTCTCCCCATTACAGAAGCAAGATGGAGACGACCGTCAGGTTCAATTTTTTCTGGAAATTTTATTGCTGTGTAGCTCAGTTTAGAAAACTGAGTAAAAGCCCAGGCTCCTGGTTCAAATCCCAGCTCTGCCACTCAGTAACTGTGACACTGGGGTAGTTTATTTAACCTGTCAGCTTTCTCATCTGCAAAATGGGGACAATAAAGTACCATACCTCAGTATTTTTCATGAGAGCTGCGATCTGCTAGTGGGTTATGGATTGTTTACTGGATCGAAACCAACATTTAAAAAAGATGAAAACAAAATACACTGCAGCGTTAATTGACGAAACTTTTGTTACATATAAAGATGTTTGGTTACTGAATCTTGACAAAAAAATGCATTAGCATGGGCTGCAGACAATAGAAAAGTCTGACAAATGTCGATCGATTTCCTAAGGTTTCTGTGAAGATTAAACAAATCAGTACATGTACAACACTTAGCCCAGTGCCCCATACAATAATGTTAGCTATTCACTCTCTCTCTGCTAATTCTTGGAAAAGGTGGGCTAAATAAGACATTTCAAGGTACTAAAAGGTTACTAATTCTGATTAGTTAACTATGAAAAGAACCTAGGACTTGTAATAGAGACATGAAAAGGCAAGGCAAAAAATTAAAATAATAAAAAAGGGAAGAAAATATTCCTTTTCTCATAAAATGGTGAATAATTTTTACTCACCATTTTATAATAAATGAAATATTAAGCTAAAGTACTTAGTGCTATCCAGCATTTTTTCATCAAAATTATTTTAATATTATTTAATAAGATTTTTATGGAAAAGTGCTGTGGTATATATCATAAATAAGATACTCTCAAATGCAAGACCAGGCCTAATGTTAGCCCACAACCTATTGCCACTCATGAGAAAAGGATGGATTCAGATATCTGTTCAATCCTCATTCAGTGCATTTGTTGCTGGCTAGGCTCACGGTCTGCAAGGCAGTGCAGTGTGATGCAGTGCTAGGGCTTTGCCGTGCACCCCAAGCACCTGAGGAGCTTGTTTAAAAACAGAGCTGCGTGGGCTCTGCCCAGTAAACTCACACCACCTTTGCTTTGGGGCCTGGTGTCCGCAGGATACGGAAAAGGTTTTGCATGAGACTTAAGTGGGGTGCATTCCAGCCCCAGCTGGACTTGTGCCCCCAAATAGCTCTGTGAGCTGGGTAAAGAAATTCTCCAACTGGTGCCTCAGTTATAAAATGTGAGACTTTTAGTTAAATTATTCATAGGCTGTTTCAGCTTTAAAAGTGTTATGTTTAATGCTCCTTAATATTTTTAGTATCATTTTTAGACTCTTTTTATAATTAGAAAAAAAAATGTTATTACATATATGGATTGCAAAACTATTTAAAGTTTTGTGCACTAAGAAAATAAAAAGTGGCCAAAATCCAATCACCAAGAGATTACTATTAACATTTTGTACCTAGTTAACTCTCAATTTTAAAATGTGTCCTTCATCCCCACCCTCCTGCCTGAAGACTCAACTAGCATCCATTTATTCTTACAGAATATATCATTCTGCTGGGTGATGCTGACAATGCGGGAGGCTATGCATGTGAAGGGGGTGCGACATGGGAACTCTCTTTACCTTCCGCCGTGAACCTAAAACTGCTCTAAAAAACAAAGTTTATTTGTGAAAAACGGTGTTTTGAAATTAGACTTCTAGACTGTGGCAAGTCTAGAAGGAAAGAGCTAAAGCGGAAGAGTCAACAAATTCATGAAGTTGGTGAAGATGAATCTTCATTGCAGAATGCCAAAGGTCTGCCTGGAAATGTGAGAAGTGGAAAGAAATGAGGCAACTGAGTTCTGCCCAAGCTATAGCACCGATTGCTAAATTCACATGTATAAAAGACAAGGCAAAGCTCAAGTTAAAGGTCTGACGGGAAAGATACAAGGCATTTTTAGATTTGGACAGTTTATTACTTACATAGACAGTGAAAAGAAGAATAAGCCTAAGGTCCCAGGTCCCAGGTCCCAGTAATCCTCATCCAACACTCCAAAAAGGGCAACACTGACACAAAAGGGGTCATATGCCTGCAACACGACTTGTGGGAGCCCCTGGTGCTGGGGAGCCAGTTCTAGACTGCAGCTGAGCAGCTGGATATTCTGCAGCTCTAGTGTGAGCAGGCAGGGTAGAGAACCCCACATCTCATCAGAGCCCTGGAGGTGATGAGAAACTGTCTCATGACAGCTTCCCAGAGGAGACAGAGAAGTGAGTGGGAGGTGACCTCCTAGCAGCTCCTCAGAGGCCTCCCCTTCTCTCGTGTTCCCAGGGGAACGTTAGTTGTACTGCCTAGACTCAAGACTCCAGCTCGAGCCTTTGCCTGTGGGGATGCGTGCCAGGTCAGCAGGGTGCCGCTGCCTTCCCCCTCCACAGACAACAAACACAAACAGCACACTCCCTGACTCCCACGCCTCTCTACAAAGCACTGTATCAGTTAAGTCGATGAAGGCTTCAGGTACAAATGGGATGTCATTTCGCTTTATTCGACGGTGACCCAGGGGGTAATAAAGAGTCTGACTCCATCTTTTGATGTCTGACTGCTGACTGCTTTCGAGCTTCACCACCACCCCCTTCCCTTTCCTGCCCCACACCTAAGCAAGCTGATGAGCAAGCTGGTGCTCCCTCCACTGGAGCCAGTGGGAAGTCCACACCGCACGCGGGACCCCTCACCCTGGCTCTGCCCCCGAACCACCATAAGAACCCCAAGACAATCTCTTTTTCCTTTCTCTCGAGTCATTCTGTGAGTGGCCAGGGAAGGCCACGCTGCCCTCACTGGAAAGCCCCCTTATGTGGGTGACAAATCTTTCCATATCCTTTTGGTGCATGTGCGGTGCTATCATTCTTGACATCCAAACCAGATTTTGAGTGTGGGGTCCATCGGGCATCTGCACAGTGGCCAAAACGCATGTCCCAGTAAACACTATGATGATGTGTAGTCTTGCCCTGAAGGTTCGCTTTGAAACAAATAAAAATGTTTGCAAGTACATATTAGAAGTTCCTCATACCAATCTGCTTATTTTACTACTGTTAAGAACAGAGGAAATGCAGTTTTATAGAGAATGAAGAAATTATTTTTCTTGTTAATGATGTGGACATTTTGATAAGGTAGAGAATCTAAACCTAAGTCAAGGTGATTGATTAGTGAGGATCTGACCATGGTCTCAGTCCTGATCCTCTGAACCTCACCTGCTCACGCAACTGAGACTTCCAAATTTTAGCTTCTGCTCCAATCTACCTCTTTGGAGCCAGCAGACTCTTCTGACTAAAAAATTACCTCAATATCTGTCTCCCCAGACTGGCCTCCTGCTTTCCTCATACTGCTTAATGCCATCATTTCCCACTTGTTTTCCCACGTTAGAAACTGGAGAGTAAAGCTTGTCCCCACCTCCCATGTCCTGTCAGTCACTGAGCCCTGCCTATGCTACCTCCTAGTATGGCTGAATTCCTCCCTCTTCTTTCTCAAGACTTTATTTGAAAACTTCTAAAGGCAATCACTAAAAGACCCTCTTAAAAATAATTTATCTTTTTGGTTTATATGTGCACAGAGGACATATTCAAAATATCCAAAAGAGAATACAATGAGAGGCATTTCCCCTCCATTCCTGTCCCAGCTTGTACCCCCTTCCAGAGACATCCTATGAATGCACTTATCTATCTTTATATGTAGAGAGAGATCCTGTATATGCCCCCTTTTTTTCTGAAACACAAAAGATAGGCTACTGTAACATACTGTTGATACATCTTTCTCTTTTCACTTAAAATATGTATCTAAGAGAACTCTTCTATTTTAAGGCATGCTGAGCTGCCTCAGCCCTTTGGACTGCCACAGGGTACTCCTCTACTGGGAAGCATGCAATTTAACCAATCCCTAGTAACAAGCATTCAGGTTTCTTCCAATCTTTTGCTAAGTGACAATATCTCACTTTGTCTCCTACTTCTACTTCTTGTCTTCCACAATAACACTAGAAAAATGGTTTTCAAACTTGTAATGAGTAGAAGTCTATGAATACAAATATTAAATTTTGAATAAAATATATATTTCTCGCTTGACTTTCTTAATACATTCCAAAAATTCAGGGAGTAAGGCAAATACCTTTGAGTAAACTGCTAAAATTATAGCATAAACAACATTGTGAACTAATTATTTAGTTTGTTCCTTTACTAAAGAAGTTTCATTTAAAAAATTGGTCTTTTTTAACTAGTTAAGCAATAAATGAGGTGGATATTTTTTTTATTGCTCTATTTCTTATTCTCTCTTAGTGTATGTTACAAACTATGCAAAGAGGAACTGAAGTACTTATTATGAGGAGTAAAATGCATTAAGGACAGATCAGAATTAAGATTTTCTTTCCTGTTATTACAAAAAGCTGCTGGATAACCAAGAAAAGAAGTTGTATATATATTTTAAGATACTATTACAAAAAGGGAGAGAGGGAAAAAGCAATGGACTTATGGATTTATGCTAAATCAGATAATCATTTTATATTAGTTTCACACAGAGTAGTAAGAAATGCCAAAAGTTTGGGGAAATTATATTGAAATAAAGTTAATGGGAAAAAAATCTATTTATTGCCCATCTCCCTCAGCCCCTTTACCCTTGCTGAATTACAAAGTATCATCAGTAATCTATTTTAGCCATGACTATATCGGTTCAGTTTTTTCTGGAGCAGAGTTTGTGAAGTACCGCATGGATCTAAAATGTAGAGCCAATCAAGTGATGTCCCTTAGCTGGCCCCACTAACAAGATTAAATCCAAACTGCTTAGCGTGGCACTGGCACCATTCAAAACAGCCTTTTATAACCAGCCTCACCTCCTGACATTCCCTCGCATGCCCGACCTTATGTTCTAGTCCTGCCATCGTTCAAACATTGGAACAGTGTACTCTTGAGGATCTACACCCTTGCACTAACTATTTTCGGAAATGCTCTTTTCCTAAACTCTGATGCAGTTCTTTTCTACCTACAAAGTGTCACTCAAATATCACCTCTTCTATGAGGCCACCATTCTGGCTTCCCAGGCAAAGGTACTTACTCTTCCACTATTCCCACTGCATTTTATGAGGTAGTATCTATCACACTCTACTTTAACTCTTAGTTTACATGTAACTCTTCCTGAGGGCAGGTGCTATATTTTACTCTTCTTCAAAAACACCCCAAATTCTGATAGAGCCTAATAAGATAGGGGGCTAGAAAATTGTTATTCAATAAATTAATGTGACTTGTGGCTGGTCAGGAATCAGTGCTACCCTTTCTAACTCCTTAATTTCAATTGTATCAAACTGGCCTTACTGTGGAACCACCAAAATAATTTAGTTCTCTAACGACAGAGTAAACCACTTTAAGAATTCAAGCCCATGTGGCTCTTTGTATTCCCAGAGGACACTATGCACAGAACAACAAATTTGCCGCTGAACTTGAAATAAGTCCTCCGTCCATTCTGTCCTTTGCAGGTTGCATGCAGAAGGGACTGATGGGAGAAGACAAAGAACTTCAGGTTTCCTTTTGAGGGAGAATTACAAAATCTCCTTTAAAATTCTTTTTTATCCTGGAACAAGTTTCTCTCTATAAACAATGATTTAAAAACAAACAAACAAAAAAGCTTTTCTACAGTTACTGCTTTACTGGACTATTGGGAGGGAAAAAAAGAACCTTAAATTATTCTTCAAACCTAAATTGTCATTATCAGAATTTCTGGTAGCACTCATGAAGCCAGCTGCAAGACGAACTGGTGTCAGCTGTGATTTCAGAGATTTTACTGGAATAGTATGCATAGCTACAAACATTCCCCCACCTCGAAAGGTGCTGACCTAGGTGACCTTGGTAATGAGTGGACATGTGTGAGGCTAAAGGTAAAAGGAACTGTACTTAAGCACCGTACCCTAGTTAATAAAATCATTCTCTACAGGGGCACATGTTAACAACTTTGACACTGCTATATATGTATCCTGAAGTGAAACAACTGATTAAATGGATGGCAAATGGTGAGAGCCAGGTTTCTCACTGTTGGAATAGGAATTTATAGCTAAGCAAGGGGAGGAAGGTAGAATGGTCCATGTAGTAATGGGCTATAAATAATGGAGATCCCAGTACAAACTCATGTTCAACTTAATAAAGGTACAGATGTTTCACGTAGCAGTATATATGTATATGTATACACACAGGTAGCATGAACTCATATATTTTGCTTGGCAGCTGACAGGGTATAAGAAATGACACTACAGTAGCAGTAAGCGTATCTAGTACCCAGATCTTGGAATCTAATACCATTCTCTAATGAAAGGACAGGGCTCTGTGGCAAAATGGCTGATTCTAGGTCTGGAGTAGGAAACAAGACAAGTCTGGTGCACCTGGTAATGCTAGAGAGTAAGGAAGTGTTCAAAAAACACACACACATGCACGTGCGTGTGCACAAACAGTAAAATGTGTATGTTACAGAAACATAGCATCCAACTAAAAGAGCTTCATGGCTTCCATGGACAAAGCTGGAACAATCTGAGCAACTAAATAAAGTAGTACTGGGTTATAACCAAAAGCATAAAATATGTATCTATGAATGAATGAATGAATGAATGGACAAGAGAGAAGAGACAAATCTCCCATGCAGAAAAATTCCCAATAGTTTTATGTAGAACGAAATGACTCAACTATTTTTATTTTACCATAAAAAACATGCCGTGTACTTTCCATTACGTGACATCTATAAACCAAATGGGGGGATTCAGGAACAAGTTGCATCTAACAACTTGGGAGCTAAGGGGTACCATGTAGGGTGAAGGGCTCCGGTACTACACAGAAGGAACACAAGGACTCCTTTGAGCTGTGTCTAAGGGCCAGAGCTGGAAACAGAAATGCGTGAAAGGTCGGGAGGAAGGCACCCGAGGCCTGGACACGGCCTTAACGCGTCCGAGCGCCGACTGGCTGGCCTATCCGGTGCAGGCGGCCTGCATCACTGGTGACACCAGCAGGGTGCTCCTAGTCTTCGATGGAAGCTAGAGGCTGTGTGCACAGTGTGTATTCATCAGGCAAGCCCCACGCCTCTCCAAGTCCTCAAATGCCAGATCATCAGTTCACTACCTCTCTTCTACAGCACAGAAGCCATCTCCAATCAGAATCACAAACCAAAAATCAACAGCACAATCGTGTGCTGAAGCAGAAACCAAGAGATCTTAAAAGCAGTATTAGAAGAATTGGAGTCTTCAGATAAGGAGAGAAGTGGTACCTGAGATAAAATCCAGAATGGTGTGACTCTAGGACAGAAGAAAGGGTGACCAAGTCAGCTGGAAAGCCCTCCCTTAGTCGTAGGTAGATTTATTTCCACACATGCTTTCCTTCCTCTGATTTTACACTGAACACTCAGCAAGCAAATTCCCAGTACAATTAGTTTCACTCTAAAAAGAAATTTCTCAAGATACATTAGTCTCAGATGAGTTTGGGTATTACAAAAACTTGTCCGTCCATGTTGCACAATCACACCTAGACACTGTACATCAAACGTCTAGACCTTCAGACTTATGAGGCCATCTTAGAATATGCAGAAGAGAAATCTAGAAGATGAGGCCTGTCTTCTATTTTCCCAATTACATCACCATTATGGATAGTTCACTCTATTAGCTAAACCAGTAAAAGGAAGAACAAATACCTGATCGAGCGATGCCACTGTCCCTGTCTTCATTCTGTCCTCTGCTTGGCATGTCAACTGGAGTGCTGTGTGCTAAGATAAAGGCAAAAGAAAACCATGTTATTGGGCTCTTCGACGAACAAGTTGTTTAAAAATGACTGCAATACTTTTTACATTTCAAAGTAGACTACTGCTAATGATGACTGGCAGAAATTTATACAGAGATTAAGTAGAAATCAAAATTAAATACATAAAACAGATGATGGTGAGAGTTAGAAGAAAACAGAATCAAGTAACTATCTGCCTTAACTATCCTGCTGTAGCATATAAACTTTTTTGAGTGATGTTCATCTCTAAAAATATGAATAATCAACTAATCATGCAGTTGATACAATGAACAGACATTCTCAGGCAGATACTTTTGGCCACTTTCGTCATTATTAATAGTATTTAAATAGCACTGTATTTTCAAAATGCTGTATAATCAGTTTTAGTAGTAATACTGGCAACTCAGGAAAGAGAAATATTTGAAAACCATTTCATAAATTTAAAAAATGTTTCTCTGTTTATAATCTACTCTCTTGGCAGATACAAAACACTTATATTCATTTTCAAATATTTTTTCCTCCACTTCTTCTCCATATACACACATATTATTGTAGAGTTACTTAGGAAAACTCATGTCCTGGCATGAATTTTAGAAAACACTAAAGTATTACAGACTTCTAGGAATGTTTCAGATTGATCTAAACTGTATACTTATTGAGTCAGAGGACAGAAGACATATTGCTATAGTCAGCTTGAAGCCCAGGGCCCTGCCTGATTATTATACTTGTCAGCTATTTTTTGAAGCATGTTTATTCTCACAATTTTAAAGAGAATATATAAACATGTTATCCTCACTCTTAAGTAGGTGGGAGGGTGTCAGTTTCATTAGGGTGTCAGTTAACCATGGTGCTTAGCACATTTCAGGCTACAAAGAAGAAGAGAATGCCATCTGCCACAAACGCAACCTTTAATGTTAGTGATGCAGGTTTCCCACATTTGTTAATCATGCCAGACCACAGGAGACATTCAACAGCCTTAGCTGGAAAGCCAATTAAATATCAGATGTTACCTACCCAGAGGGACCGAGATGATTATACCTGTAAAGAACCTAGAAACTGCATATAAACTACGAGAGAGAGAGAGAGAGAGAGAGATAAATATCTCTTACAGACAGTGATGTCATTTCACAATGATGGGCTAGTGATGTTTATGAGAAATTTTAGGGGTCATCACTAGAAGAATAGAAACAGATTGTATCATTCTAAACCAATCATACAACCAAGAAGCTTTAATTCATCTGGAAAGTGTCAGGTAAGTGAAGAAGGAAAAATAAGAATGAAAAATAAAACAAAAACATAAGAACAATTAAGTCCAAACATATGTATATGTCAAAAGACTTAGAATGGGAATAATGACAATGGACACATATATGCTATTGAGAACAAACACTACTTGAGAGAGAGAGAGAGAGAGAGAGAGAGAGAGAGAGAGAGAGAGAGAGAGGAAGAGACAGTTGTGTGTTTTCCATGCTCTCATTAGAGTGACTTTTGAAGAAGCTATGCAGGTAGGATGCAGGTGAATAAATGGATGAATGACACCATGGTAAAGGGAAAAGGTTCATAGCAGCAGAAGAGGCCTAGGAAAATCAGAAAATATAATCCTCTTAGAAACACTAAGGGCTCATTTCACACCAAAATCAGCTTACCCTGGCGTATTATCAAAGACATTTACAATAGAGGTTCATTGGTGAAATTTTCAAAACACCATGAACTTGGCTGCATTTGAAACTAATATCTCCAGAGCCCCTTGGATTTCTAGAGAGGCACCAAATAGGATTTTTTTCTAAGAACCAGCACAGGATTTATTAACATGTGTGTGGGTCACACTGTACTCAGCATTCCACACAAACCTGCAAAGAAAGAAGCACTCCGGGTGAGCCGGAGAGGTCCTCCTTCTGCTACCCCCTGCAGCAGCTTGCTGCTGCATGCCTGCAGCAGACCTAGGGACAGACACACACAGAGGAGGGCAAACAAAGTACACACAAAAAAATAAACACAGATTAAAGATAATGCAAAAAAAAACACCAAACAACACAACAAACTCAAATAAAGCAAAACATACACCAACAACAGCGGTATTCAGAAAGAAAGAACCCATTTGTGTGGTCAATTTACCTAGGTTACTTCCAGTACGACAAGGACCCAGGTTATTCTGATTTGTGTTCAGTTTTCCCAGATTGGGATCCTGGTTGATGTACTCAAAGCTGTCTTGCAAGCTAAATCCAGAGAGGGGAAGGAAGGGAGAGAGAGAAGAAAAAACGTCAAGAAGTGAATAAAGCTGTATTCTAACAGACTCTCAAATACAAACAGCTTATCAGTTGCTCATTATGCATTTAGTCATTTCTTTATAAATGAATAAAGTCTCACATTTTCCCTACCAAAGGGAATTAAACTTTAGGGGAATTCGTTGGAGGAAAAGACAAGAAAAGCTTTTGGGAGGTAGTTCAACCTATAAAAGTAAACAATGCTTTCCTAACAGTTTCACATTACGTAATGGGATATCAAAGTCTACAAATTTTGATTCAGTGACTGACACCTAGGATATTGTTATTAATTTCTAAGTTTTGCTTTAGTGACTGACCCCCAAGATGTTACTATCCATTTCAAAGATAATTTTACATAAACCTCCAAAATGAAATTAATTTGGACTCGTAGTTAACATCTAGGAGCAATTCGACACCTTTTTTCATGAGAAGGCACTAACAGAAATTGATATAATTCTAGAAGAGTTCAAGTTTAAAACACCTGAAGTTAGAATTCTCATAAACAGAAATGTCCAGGAAACAGAATTTAATAATTTATTATATTTACTATAAGCAGACTTAGTCAAAATGGTACCCAAACCTACAAAGGAATATATATTTAATTTCCCAGTATTATAAAAAATAGCCTCCTCTTGACCACTAAGAATGTTCTTTAAATTTATTACAAACATTTCTTTCAAACTTACCAAAGCATAACAAATGTCTCATAAGTTTATTCAAAAAAGAAATATATGAACTATTTCTGTTTGCAAAGTTCAAAATATGTGAACAAATGTACCAGAATGAGAGTTAAGTTAGAGATGTCAGTATCTTTAGTCTACGCTGAAGCATAAAAGTAGAGGGAGAAAAAACTCAGGAGCAAAACTCAAAATATTGCATGGCCTACCAACCAATCACAGAGGCTACAGTGACAGAAACAATCCATCCCGCCACACGGGTCCATAGCAATCTGGAAAAACTCACTAGAATTCATCCCTTTAAAAATAAACAAACTAACAAACAAACAAGTTTTCAATTTTTTTTAAAGGATAAAACAATGTTAAGTACCATAAACCCATTAATGTGGCCCCCTCCTTTTTTTCCCTTCGCATTTTGTTTTCCAAGAGAGGAAATCTTGGTGATGGCATTAGGAAAAGGTGGGTAACAGACGGAGACCCAACAGACACAGAGAAGCAGTTATTCGCCTCTAAGGCCACCTGGTAAAGTCAAAGGCCTCTTCACGCTCACTGTGAATAGAAAAAGGGCCACTTTTAAGATCCTTTTGTTAACGTGGACTCATCCTGCTTCTCACTTCAAAATGCGCAATGGCCCTCAAAGAATTACTGTTTAGAAATAGCCACTTAAAAAAATGGGGGCAAGTGCAAAGCCCCACACTTACTTATTTGCACTCCCACAGAAGCTGCCCATTCTCGCAGAGAAGACTTTACTAATCATGAGTTGGGGAGGAGAACTGGAAAAAAGGAAAGAAGAGGGAGAAATGAATTTTTGAATTAAAGAGTCAATATCACCATTCCATTTCTCACAAGTAGTAGAAAAAGAAGCCCAAACTCACCGTATGTAATGTATCTTTAAGGTGGAGCCTTTGTAACTCATTGCAACTGAGCCAAACATCATCTCCCCAAGCATGTTGACATCGGAAGCTGGTCTTGTGTACTACCACACATGAAATAAACCAAAATCGAAGTTAGCGTGTGGCACAACACGATGCGCAATGCAATAGAAAATAATGTTTATTAGTTTCTGGGTCTCTCCTTAGTTTGGTGGGTAATTAAAACTATTTTTCAAAGCATCAATTGATCATTTTATAATCTTAATCTATACTGGCGATTGCTTGTTTTTCCCCAAATGATTACTAATGTTGACAATTTCTTTATACACAATATCTTCATACAGGATCCAAGTGTTTTCTCAGAGTTCATTTTTAATCTTTGTTGTGAGAAACAAATATTTTCATTATCTCTATTTATAAACTCTTGATAGAAAGAATAGGTTATGAAAGAAACAGGATAACTATTCTCTTGCGACTAAGAATACATCTTAAGGGAAAACAAAAATATGCTTGGGTATTATTCAAGTGAATAATGAACACTGTTGAACGAAACGCCAGTTGGTGCAGGCGGGGTTTTGTGAGGGTCCAAAAGGTAACTGACAGTCTGGTGCTGCTAAAGTTTTACAAAAATATTTTGACAATATTTGATGATCTTAGCTTCTGACCAGTCTTTCTCATCCCTTTTGTCATCCAAAAGGGTGCACTGCCCTCTCTTCTTCCTTTTCTCCCTCCCTCCCTCCTCCCTCCTCTCTCTTTCTCTCTCTCTCTCTCTCTTTTTCTCTCCCTCCCTCCCTCTCTTTCTCTGTTTGCTTATGAACCGACTGCAGCCTCCTCCTCCAAACTGCTCTGGGATGACCTCTGCCTCTCTGTCAATCCAAAGGACGTTTTCCAGTTTGCTTTCTTACAGGTGTCTAAGAATATCTGACGCTCTTAATAATCCTCCTTCTGAATCTCTTCTTTCCCAGATCATCCCTTGAACAGGGCTGATCCTCAGAGGGCTCTCTTACCCCTGTCTGCATTCTCCAATCTTCTGATTTTGGTTATTCTTTACATAGACGTGACCCCCACATCTTTATTTCTAGGCCTAGACCTCTCCTTGAGTTCTAGAATCCTATATCTAAATGTATCCACTCATGTTTCATAACATTTGAATGTTACGAGCATGCTATGATAAGTGAATGGATGCACTGGATACAGGATTCTAAGTGCTGGTGATACACTGACAAACAGGCTAGCTATAACCCCAGCACAGCTTGACCAAAACAAAACAACCATCTCTCTGTGACCCAGCCTACCCGCCAGATTCTCTGCTAGTATGCTTTCCACCCAAGCAAAAACATGGGAATCATCCTTAACATTTGCTTCTCAATTTTTAAACTCCGAATACATACACATGTACATATACATGCACAAGTACACACACATAAAAACACACATCTACACACTTACTGACACATGTTTGCAGAGGAGGAAAGAAACACAAATCTATCACCCTTGTTTACCGAGCCTCCTTCTGTGGTTCCAGCTCACACTAATCTCCTCTCACTAAATGCAGACAGAAACCAACTGGCCTTCACATTCTTTATTAATAACTTCCACCACCTCCATTTTACATTCTGCTTTATTTGAGGTACAAGGTCCACATAGCAACTATGATTCTCAACTAGCTGAAAATTTCACTTTATGCTTTTTTAAGATTTGGGAGCACTGTGAAATAAGGGAAAATTTAAACTCATGGCACAAATTCCGACCGGGAAATTAACAAAGTTCCATAGATCCAGGGTTGTTGGTAATTTCCTTGTCTTTGTTTTTCAAGCGACATGATAGAAAAAATTCTACAGGGTTCCAAAAAGAAAATGTTGATATATCTTCCATCGATTAATAACTCTTCTACTATTCATTATTTATGAAACATTTATTCTCTTATATCTACTTAGCTAATATTTCTCAACAACCCTAATTCCTATCCTCAGTGACCTTACACACACACACACACACACACACACACACACACACACACACAGCATAAAAAATGCTACCAGCCCTCCATTCTTCACACTCAAGTTAGGTCTTGCCATTTCTTTCTTCTATACAAGGATTTCTTCCTTCTCTACTGATAAGTGCTATTTTCTCAGGATGCCCATATACATTCCTGGAATCCTTAGAGTTCTTATAACAAAACTGAAAAATACATGTTTATAATAAAACTGAAAAATACATCTTAATTAATCTGCTTCTGCCAATGAAGAAAGCAAAACAATATTTGCAATATTTCTTCCTCATTTGGCATGTATTAAACTGGATCATCTCTGCTCGATTATAGTTTTTATCAAGAGATAAAAGCCATAGTGTTAGAACAGCACTGACGTGAAGCATTTAAGAGCTCATTTTGTAATACGTACTCTCATATTCCTGGAGTAGAACCCTCCAGCAGGCATTATTCCTTGTAAAGAAATTACAGTAAATGACCTCAGCCCTCCGGGGTATTCCACACGGAAGGTTTTACCTGGTATTTTGGAAGCTGCTCCTTAGCATGTTGTAAAGATCCCCCAGAGGAACTATGGGAAGAGATGCTGCTGCTGCTGCTGCTGCTGTCGCTGCTGCTGCTTCCCTGACAGCACTTGGCTGACATTTTAATAGGGACATCCTCCGTTTTCTGGGTTAAAAGAAACAGGCAAAGTAAAGTACTGCTAAATATATCAGTCCTCCTCGATACGAGTCCTTTGTTAAAACATGTGTTACGTTGTGCCCAAGTTGCATAGAAAGCCAGAAGCTTTTATTTTTCTTTTAATGAGGACAAAAATGTGGTCCCCGAGAGTCTACAACATTGCGGGGGCGGGGAGAATGCTGGAGAAGGGAACTAGACAGAAGGTGGTGAGTTGCATGTTAAGACTTTATTCTCCTTAAATAATGCAACTATTATTTATATTTCAATTCATATTTTAAAATCATCAATGAGCTCTGATCTGTTTTCATTAGAAGATTTTTAATACTATATAGTCATAATCTATAAAACTGATGAGAAAAACATTGCTTCAACTTTAAATTTTTACTAAGTAAATGGAACTAGGAAAGCAAAACTCCTGATGTGAAAAAACTGAGCTTGTGTTTTTAACAACACACCTCCTTTAGAACTCCTTTAGTAAGGTAATAGGGAAGAAAATCATGAGGTTAAGTTTGTGAAAGATGAACCCCAAACTCTGAAACAGGAGCTACTGCAAATTACACAGCATGTGATAGAAACTGAGCCTGTAGAGGTTAGGGGTAATAGAAGATGATCTACTATATAGTCCCTAAGTAGAGTTCACTGCTAATTTTTATGACATAAAGTATAAAGGTATACCTTTATTAATTTTTCCCTCTCTCCTACATCAAAATATACTACTCCCTACAGAAGCATCCTGTGCCCTCTGTGATAAGTTGTTGCTATTCTAAGTCTTATTTGCTTTTTTGTGTGCAGCTTTTGCTTGGAAAAACATGAATGCAACTGTAGCTTATCTAATCTCCAATGTGACAGTCACACTGGTGGTCTAATGCAAATGCCTGCAGTCATGTGCTTGATACAAACTCATGATGTTTTGTGCTTGCCAAGGGGATGGGGGGCTGAAAATGGGTAAAGAATGTAAAGAAAACACAAACTGTGCTGGCTCATTAACAGTCATTCCTGCAGTGATGGCTTTCAAAGTTGTACTTGGTGATTCCTGAGCATCTGGCACTCCCTTAACACCCTCTTCAGATCTAGCTGTTACTTAATACCACTTAAGCCAGAAACATAGCCCCTCAGAGAGCCTAAAGTGACACGAAGTCCGCACCTGCTTCACAGACTGCTAGACCCTTTGGCTGGGATACAACATTCTCGGCAGTCTATAATTGGAGACAGCACCTGGTACAGTAAATAGAGTACCAACTGGACTCTTTCTGTAGCCTTGGACATGTTGCAAACCTCCCTGGACCTAGATGCCTTTTTGATTAAATGAGTGCTTCAAAGAAACTTATGTTCCAGACTCCAGTGTTATCACCACTCTGATGTACTAAAGATTCCAGCTGCTTTTTGAAACCGGTGAGAAATTTTTCCTCTCCACCTGTTTCCACCATTAGGGGCCCCACTGATGGAGTGTGGGTGTTCAACTAAACCATCTGTGCAAGGCCTTCGGGGAAACAGGAAATGATGTGGAAAATAAAGAGAAGCCATGTCCTGTCCACCAAACAAAGGGTCAAGTGTTGGCTCACATAAACTTCACTACAAATCTACCATTAGAGCCTACAGATGAATCACCTGAGATTTCAAGTCCCACCCCCAACCTATCTAGCAAGCCCAGCAACTACTGTAATGATTAGCTACCTGGCAGACTTCCACTTTAAAGCGCCATGGAATCCACCCAGCTAAACTGCCTTTCACCAAAGACTTCCTTCCTGCAGAAACAATCCTTATCAAAAGCAGGAAAACAGCCCCTAGGCTCTGATGAGACAAAGACCATGACATAAACTATTCATTTACTTTACTTAATTATACATTATGTAAAGTGCCAGAATTTGGTGAGTATGGGACGCAAATTATTGAACACAAAAAGAGTCAATACAAATGGTTTTATTTAATTTCCAGACAGCCAAATAACTATTGAAAAGAGAATGAAAGGCCTAAAGGTGACAACTTAGAAGTACCCTGGACTGATGTCCAGAAGACTCAGAGAGGACCAGTCTCTGCTCCTCACCTAGACACATCACTTCACTGTTCCTATTCTGGCTCCAAGAGATCGAGAGCTGCTCTGTCCTCACTGTCCCCATTCCCAGACTCCGTCCCCCAAACCTCACCCCACATCTCTACCACCACCCTGCCTTCCACTAAGAAAAGGAAATAAGTAAAAGTTTCCTTGGTCAGACAGGTTTGAGAAGCGCTCCCTTTTGAAGATGGCACAGGACGTTAGCATGCTGAAGGCCTACTCTGAGGAACACTCCATAATCCTGTTTAATCCAGTGCTCTGTAATACTGCCTATGAGAAATACTAGACAGAATGATCTATTCACTTCCCTTTAGGCTAGCACTTTATGAATCTAGTGTTCTCAGATTCCCCATTACATGGCACATATTTGGCAACAAAATCCTACTAGATTGCCACTCACCAACCAGCAGATTCACCTCTAGTAATATTTACGCTGCACTGCTTAGCACTTGTCATGATTACTTGCTAATAGCTTCACCTATGTGTGTTAATAAGAATACACATGCAGCCAGCGAGGGTGCTTATGTTTCTTCTGAACTATTAATGGCAGTGTACAATAGAGCACGAAGAGACAATTATGGACTAATAAATGATTGTTCAGACAGGTGGTGAAAAGGCACAAACAAAAAAGATGAAAGCAAATCCAAATTTCCTACCTGAGTTGCCACCTCTTCAATCTTGTGAACAGCCTTAGAATCAAACAAGACTTGTCTGCCTCTCCTTTCACAGTCCTGGTAAACTATCAGGCGAATCTCGTTCAGGTCAAGCTCTGAACATGACCAACTGTGGATTAGAAAGGGAGAGAGAAGTTATGTTACCTGCAACACTTGGAATAACCATCGCAAGAGGAGTTTTCCAGCCGATGTGCCCGCAGGCACCTTCGGAAGACCGCAGAAGTGCAGACAGTGATCCCTTCAGACCTGGGGCGGACAGCCTCGTCTTTGGACTCCAATAGGCCACATGAATATAGCCAATGTCCATGGCAAAGGTTGGGAAGATCACTTTAAATAATAAATCACTGCAGAGAAAGCTTCTCCTTCCAAAGCTACTTTGGGCAAGGATGATAGCCAGAAATCACAAGGAAATGTGGAGAGAGCTACATTTGGATGTCTGGGTTCTGGTCTAGGAGGGTCACTGGGCAGGGAACCATTTGGAGCAAGTCAATAGAGCCTTGTCTCCTCCTTTCCCACCCACCCACCCAAGCTCAGGTCCAACTGAGAGGAATTAAATATCTTAAAATTTAGTACTTTATTCTATTAAGGCTGGCTCTGATACAGACGTTTTGAAAACCAACTGTATCACTATACAGCGTCTGAACTGCTATAAGAAATAAAGGAAGCATGGCTCATGCGTTAAGGAAATCAAAAGCCACTGGGATAAAACTGCTCTAAACACAGGTTTGTTCTTGAGTAATAAATGAAATCAAAACGTGAGAGCTATGGAAAGGGTACTCATTTAAAATGCGCTGCTTCCGACGTATTCAGTTATCAGTCTGTTAATCCCTTCAACACATATTTGAGTGCCTACTATGTTCCAGGAACTGTGGTTGACGTTAAGAGATTCAGCAGTTAATTAACTAAACAGATTTGGTCCCCACACTCGTGTGGTGAATGCTGGGCCAATAATCATATATAAATGCAAAACTACATACTGTCCTAGTGAAAAAGGAAATGAAAAGATGTAACAGGAATCTCATTTTTAGATTTAAGGGGTGGGGGAGAAGAGCAAGGAAGTCCCTAAGGATTTAAGGAAGTGATATTTAAACAAAACTTGAAGAAGGAAGAGTTAAAGAAATAAGAGCACAATAGGAAGAGGGAGGGACATGGTAAGATCTAAGACTGATGTGTTAGAGGGAAAAAAAAAATAGCCTGAGGGAGAAAGAGAGCTCCAGATGCAGGCCGGGAAGGCAGGCAGGGGCCTGGATCATGCCCTAAATGCAATGAGAAGCCAAAGTAAACAAAGGTTGATAAACTCAGGTCTATACTTTTTTTTAAAAGTTCAATGTGGCTGCTCTAAAGAAAACAGGGGATAGATTAAGACTGGAAGCAGGAAGGCCACAGAGAATTTATTCTGTGTTCAGGTCCTTCATAAGGCAGGCTGGAGTGATAGCTAAGGAGGTGGAGGAAAGGTGACAAACACTGCAGGGGTGTTTAAGGGGCCGACTTGATGAGATTTAGTGGTGGCCTGGATGGGTGCCTGAGGCAAAGAAGGGTGCTAACTGCTTAGAGACCGCTGGAAGAGGAGTTGGCCCGAAAGGATGGAGAGTGGATAATTAGACAAGGAAAGCAAACTGTAAAACTAAAAGCTAGTTTAACTGAAGTAAAGCCAGACACGTTTGGATTTTTAAGTTTCGACTTCTCCACCAGCACAACGACAGCATTCATGCCCACCCTGCGAACAGGCTGTGGGAATGAAATGAAATATGTAAAGTGCCACACACACACACACACACACACACACACACACACACAGCGAGCTCTCCAAACGGCAGTAATTACTGAAGAGAACTGTCTGTGCTATGATTTTTTAAAAAACTTGATGCAGTGCCTGGTACCCGATCACAAATTGTTCATTATTGGTCCTTTCCTTTTTCAGGCAGCAATAGTTAACATTAAACATGTTCTTTTAGGGTAGTAGATTTATTTTCTTAAGTACCAGCACCAAAAGGCATAAAGTCCTGGTTGTACCTTCTTTCAACAACCTGCGTTCTAAGCTACGAAGCCCAGTATCCCTTCCTCCTAATTTTAGTAACAACATGGCAAGTTTATTTTGGAAATCATTTTTCTTCTACTCTGAGTCCAGAGGCAGTCCATGTTCCAGGCCTGGCCGATCAGACAGGGCCGTATGACCCCAGCTAGGCTGTCCCTACACTTAGTTGCTCGTCTGGTAAGAGAGGTAACCTTGGAGGTGCCGGTACCTATTTTTTGCTATTATGAGGTGACAGCCTATCTGCAAATGAAGTCAATGTGGAGGAAATCAGAGCTGGGCCACGAACAAGACAGACTCCTGGTAACAATCGAAGCCAGCTGCTCCTGAGTGAACACAGTTTTCTGTCACTTACAACTGAAAACTGTGCCCCAAACCACTACATTTTTAAATTACATGAGGTCACTAAAAACACCCTCTGAAATTATTAAAACATAGTACAGAGATTGAAATTATTAAAAGCAAACAATCAACGGAACTTAATTGCCTTGTGTTTTTTTATTCAATCTATTTTGTCCCAACAATTACATTTTGCCAAAACAGCATTATAATTTACAGCGTAAATTGTTCTATCCTTATTTTTGAGGGATAACACTGACTCAAATATCAATCAAACTGAGGATAGTCTGTTTAGAAGAGCTAATATTTAATAATGATCACAATATCTTATTAAATGTTCCATGTTATTTTTCAACTAAAAAAAAAAAAACCCCTAGAAATAAAAATAAAAGACATGAGAACGGAAAAGTATAAATAAATATCAAATAGTATAATTTTTTGACCCAAATATCTTAAAGAAGTATTTTATAGAATAAGGAAAACTCTATTCTCCTTTTTCCCATATGAATATTGTCTTTGGTTTAAACACCTAATTATAATTTTATCAAATTACTCAACTGTAGAGGAAATTACAGTTGAGTAATCTGGTAAAGGAAACACAGGCAGGACAAAAGAGATTGGATGAGTGCTTCAGAATGAGATAGGCCTGGGATCAAATCTCGGCTCTGCCTCCCGCTGGTTTTACAGCCTTGAGAAAGTTCCCTCAAGCAGCACTTGTAGGGCCGCTGTGAAGATTAGGGGAGATAATCCAGAGAAATCTCCCAGCACACTGCCAGCTCTTTCTCTACCACCCATGGCACACAGGGCTTGAGGTATTTGTATCACACAGAACATGTATAATTTTTCATCTTCACATCACATTGACATTCAACCAGCAGTTACTGCAGAGCTTCTATGAGCACCAGCCGAGATTCCTGGTGCTTGACCAGGGCAACTCTGCATGATTTCAAGAGGTATGAAAAACAGGCCTTGAACTTTTGTCTTAAAGTTTCTGACTATTTTAAAAATGGGTATTCTAATCAGAACTATCTCATTTCTTTGCTTTTGTTGAAAGCAAGGGAAGAACGCTATGTTGTCGTCAAGGGGATACGGTATTTTCTGTCTACTTTATGGCCACAGGTACAAGAAAATAAGATGATTTGTCTACCTTTTCTCTACTGTATGACCTGAGGTACAAGAAAATAAGATGATTTGTCTACCTTTTCTTACTGCAAAACTTAAACAAAATGACTTATATGGACTCTTTTAGGCTTTATGATTCTATGATGCTAAGATCTGGTGGTCTGAACTGAAACCAGGTCTTATTTTTGGTATTATTTCATCGAAAGCAGGAACCAAGTGACCAAAGTCTAAATCACTTACCTGAAAGGTGACAAGCAACAGTTTAAACGATATTAAGTACTGAAAACAGGATTTTAAAATATATATAACCATGTATTGTGGTTAACTTGTGTCTCCCCCAAAGATAGGATCAGTTCCTGTTCCCTGGCACCTGTGACTATGACCTTGTGTGGAAACAGGGTCTTCACGGCTGTGATCAAGGTAAGAGGAGGTCTTGCTGGATTTGGGTCAGCCCTAATCCAAGGACTGGTGTGTCCTTGTAAGAAGAGAGAAATCTGGACAGAGGCACAGAGGGAAGATGGCTATGTGATGACAGAGACAGAGGATGGAGTTATATAGCCAAGGGAAGCCAAGGAATGCTGGCATTCAGGGGGATACAATGGATAAGAAATGTCTAAAGTCCCCATTCTCGAGGAATTTAAAATCTAGAAGAGACAATCATGCAGATAACTACATGAAAACGAGAGGGCAAGGAGAAGTACAGAGAACAAGGAGGAAACAGGAAAAATTCCTGGAAGAAGCAATATTTGAACTGATGAAGTTACGAAGGATGGCAAGGATGAGACATGTGATGACGAACAGGGGAGAGTCATTGCAGACTGAGGGCATGGCACAAACACAGAAAGTAAAATGATACAATGTCTAAGTCTTGAGTAGCTGAAACGTGTCTACTGCAGAAGGATTACATAGGAAATGAGGCCGGAAAGACAGTCTGCAGGACTGCTCCTGAAGGATGCTGAATGCGATGCCAAGGAATATGTTTGTTCCACATGCAGTGACATGCCCTTCTGTTTCCTGAGAAAGGGCATGACATGATCTGACCTGTGTTTTAGGAGAGAACTAAAGCTGTCTGAGAAAATCATTTTCAGAGCGAATGGAGAGGTGGTGCCAACCTGCATCCCCAGGGTCTCACCGAGTCATGGCTAACAAGATGAGCGCAGTATTTGTGTGATTTGTTGTAGGGTGATTTGCTACGTCCTTCGAGACCAGTTCTAGTGTTGGTGTTTTAGTCTTCCCTTGAACTTTCATAGGAATCAGGCTAGAAGCAGGCTCAAGTAGGCCTATGTGGAAGCATGATCAGTGAAAGACTACTTCAAAAATGTTTTCCCTCTTGCTCTCACACAGGAAACAAGCCTATCTATACCCAAAAATAAGTTCACAAGAAGGGCCTAAAGAGCAGTCTTGTGATCCAAAAATGTGAATGTTCAAAGAGTCAGGCATAATAGGGAGCTTTAAATGGTCCAAGAAAAGGTAAATGAGATCAAAGAAAACCAACAATAGTGATCACAACAAAAACTGGCAGATACTATCCATTTAACGAGTGGCTCCTGCATGCCTACGGTGTGCCGTGCATTCCTCCAGGCCCTGACATAAAGCAGTGGACCGATCATAACTCC